GGCTGTGACGTCATCGCATCATTGATCCGTCTGACCTCCTCGCCTCCCGTCGGCTGATGCAACCGGGGACGCCCCCCACCCCTAGCCCCCGAACCCGGCGCTTGGGAGGTTTCGCCCAGTGCCGCGTGCACGCCACTCGAAAATGTGAATTCTGAACTCGTAATCACTTAATTTTTATGCAAATATTCTACCGGTTTACAGATGACATGACGTAGAACATAGGTCAATTTTGTTCGTGAGCTTAGCCCTTGTCATTATGTGCGTAATTGATGTGTTTCTAACTACGATTTTGAAGTAAGGATGATCTTGTATCTTGTATTAACTGATGTTTTTGCTTTCAGTCCCGAGACTATTAAAGCTTCATCGGACGCAGAACCGGTGGGCTAGCCAGAACCCACTGGTTTGGACCGCATGTGCTCATGCGTGCGTTTAATTATGGTATGTCATCTAAGGGCCGTCGAGGTCGCGGTTCGGACCGAGACCCCGACGGCCGTCGACTGTGCAATTAGCTAATCGGTGGCTGGGAGCGGTGAGAACCGCCCCGGAACGCGGGTGTACCTTGTGTACGCGTTGTGTGGGTCTCGCCGTGCTCGGAGGCGAGGGCGAACTGGGGTGATTGTTGTTACACTAACTGTGGGTGTAGTGTTATCCGGCGGGACCCCCGGCGGTTGGTCCATCGTGTAAGGATGAACCCGGTCCTTCTCTGACACATCAGTCGAAGTCTTTTCAATAGATAATTTTTCAATAGACTTCCAAAAATGGAGGTTCTCGATTCTATTGTATTTTGTTTGCTTGTATTTAATGCCATTTAATTCGTACTCGACTCCGGGTCAGAAGTCCCCAAAATATAAATATAGTATAGCGATTGCGACATTCGACGTCAGTTTTGTTTTTTTTTTTGTCAATAGGAATTTCATTAACCTTATAGCATAGCTCGACTAAAGGATGTTAAACAATACGTCGCTTTAGAGAATCATTATATTCGTGGAAATAAATTAAGGTATCTCATAGCAATGCGGTGTTCATAAGAGGAAGATGTGAAATATTTACCACACGCTACTGGTTTCGTTCGGATAAATTTAGAAGCGGCTGTGATTACCGTCATTGTTTTTATCGATTCGAGACGAGAGTCGACTATAAAACCTTATTTGTATTCTGAAAAGCGTAATCGGTTACCGAGCCGGGATGAGCCAGTACCTATTGCATGAACTAAGTACGTAGTCAAGCTTTAGCTTGGTTAGTTTTAACAAGTATGGGCTAAAACTGTTAACCCGAACCGATAACACGCGAAGGCCATGCAGGCAAAAATAATTGATTGCTTATTAATAATTGATTGATGTATTATATCAGAGTTCGTTCCCTGGGTAAAGTTTGTACCGAACTAGTCTGCTCGCGTGCCTTACTCGACAAGCATTTAAAAGTGGGTTTGAAATTCTGAATTTTCAAAGCAATCAATTATTATGGCCTTCGCGTGTTTTAATTTAAAACGCATTTCCGTTAACAACATGTTTTGTTTCCTTATTGTTAACTAACAATTAACCGCGGATTCGCCTGCGCGGTCTCGAAAAGGAAGGAATTAACAATGATTTTTGTTTATACATCAGAACTTAACAACATAACTCTCAGATGGCATAAGTTTTTCCTAAGTACTTGACACTTATCGTTATATTTTGGACAATTCACACAGTACCTTTGTAAATTATAGTCTATGTGTTATCCTGATGTATAAGCTAAATATTTGTAAAGTTTCATTAAAATCCATTTAGTACTTTTTGTGTGAAAGAGTAACAAACAGCCATACGTACAAACTTTTCCGTTTAAGGTATTAGTAAGGATGATATTTAACAAATTGTTTTAGAGTTATTGCGTCATTCGGTATTAACATTGTTCCGTTTGTAAAGATTGTTGCGCCATATTTCATTTGATTTTCCTTATAGCGGTGTACTCGGCAATTGAGAAAAGTGCTTCCCATCTCCCTCCCTTATTAACGAAAGTTGTGAAAATGTTGCATCAGAGCACGTTTTTCGTGATTTTTTTAAAAGTATTTATAAATACCAATAACAGTGCCTCCTAAAATTGTTATTGTGTGTAAGGTAATTAATTATATTATTTTTTCAAACAAGCCGTCGAATTCGCATTTTAAAAGCTAGCGCTTTTCTTAAATCATTTATTTATCAAATTAAATTCGATTTTATTCTTAGTTTTCTTTTAAAATAATAATAAATATTGTTTTGTTTGTCTACTACGCGTTCCCCCTCAACCTTTCATCTGATTGTGATGGAACTTAAGTGAGTTGTTCAACCTGCGAAGGATCCCGGTATAAAAAAAAAATTCCTTCTACGTTTGTTTGTTTATTTATTTGTTCTGTATCCAAAGAGGAAGAAACGATTGTAAACATTTCTTGAGTTCCGTACCCAAAGGGTAAAACGGGACCTTATTACAAATTCTCCGCTGTCTGTCCGTCTGTCGTGATAGTAAGTACAGTTAAATTATTTTCACAGATGATGTCTGTTGCCGCCATAATAAAAAATACTAAGTGGGGCTCCCATGAAACGAACATGATTTTTTTGCCGTATTTATAGATATTGCTACGGAACCCTACTTTTTAATTTAAATCTGCCTCGTTTCTTATATTCTACAGAATTCATAATAGGAAACGGGTCGTTGTAAATTAATCTCGATAAAGCCTGCCAAAATCTACAGTGTTGGTTAATAATGCAGAGTATTCGCATAGCACACAGTCCTATGGATTATGTATGTAAAGGTTCATTTGACAAAGACGATGCTGTTTTTGAATAAAATTAATATTACTGTTGTTGCATAAAATTATTACGATAATGAAATCGTACAAATGTTTTCCCAAGTATTTTTTTCTCCAAGTGATTACTGTAGATTTCACCTTTTTGAGGGGCAAGGCAATTAATGAAAAAACTCTTTTGTATGGGATCACTTGATGGAGGTAAAAAGAAAATCGTACGCCTTTTAAAGAATACAAGCTTTGCCAACGGACGACCCAATAGGATGCTGGAGAGAAATTAAACCGCTTCGAACTGGTCTACTGGATACTGAATGAGTATAAAGATTTGTCTGTTTGTTTGAATTTCACTATGTCGACTTAAAATACAAATGTTAAGTTCCCACATTGATTTTACGCGAATATTATACATATTGAATAAAACTAGTTTATGGATTTTATCGCGTTTTAATTTTGAATTTTAACTCCCGATGTTTTGAACCCTTTCCAGTGAGAAAGAAGATTAGAAGGGAGAAATCCGTTAAGTACTTTCATTTAAAATGTTAAGTTGTTTGTTTGAACATGCTAATCTCCGGAACTACAAGTCGAATTTGAAAAATACTTTTTATATTTGATAGCCCAATTCTTGAGGAAGGTAGAGTAGGGTATTTATGTAAGGTAAGGTATAGGGTATAAGGGTATTTAACATCACGCTACGACCGACGGGGGCGAAACGGTTTTCGTGGATGAAATCGCACGCAACCGCTACTATTGAACCGCCCGTCTGCGACGTGTTCACATAAAAAAAATCATTTTTTACTCCCTTAAGCTCGGAGGATTATTATTAGAAGTGGCGATGGGCCGTGCACCGATGAGTGATAAAAGTTCTCGAGTGGTATAACCTGGTACTGGCTATCGCAGTGTAGGACGACCTCCCACTAGATAGAGCGACGACATGTGCAAGTGTCTGTGCGTTAGTTCTGTTCTGAAGCCTCACTGGCTGAAATGGTGATAATGATGAACACAGCTGCAATCCCATTAGTGTCGTGAATGTTAAATGATTATCTGGACATATTATCCCTTACATCATACGAACCACTTGCCTGATATTGTGTATAACATAAGAAAAATATGTAGATAACTGCATAACAATTTCTCGGTACTCCTAAATGGGCAAAATCTGCGCACCAGTGAACTTCTGGACTCGTGTGTACAATTTTGTGTTGGTTCAGTCTTTGACTTTATTACAATTCTAAAGGCTCAGTACATTTAAATGGTTACAGTTTTATCGAATGATTGCGGTTCTTACATTTACTAATGTCATGTGTAATTTATGTTAAGGTTTTAACGTATTTTTAAAATATAAACTCGCTGTTCCATAGTCTACTTCGACGCCGCATCTAAAAGCTTATCCACTTTTCTTCACTTAGAAGAAATTTAGGCCGGCATGCTACATTACACGTGTAATGCAGCTATTATAATGCTATCTACCTTTAGATACGTTTTACGACGGTTCGACTAAATTTAAACGGATAGTACTGACTCATTTGGGTTAACTTGCATTTTTTTCAATAAAAGATAACATATAAAAGTTGTCAAACGCCCCACTTGTTCGCGACCCATCATCGACAAATATTGTTGATGTATTAGTAATTGCCGATGAGTGTTTAGAACCTGACAATGGAACCATGTGCTTAGCACCCGTTTGACCGTATTTTTTACTAATTGTCGCCGGCGCAGTCGATGCTACCAGCGCCGAATAAATAAAACTACACGAACGCCCTATTTGCAATGGTCCCACGCCGCTGCTGTTGCGTTGAACTCGGTTTATTTATAAGTTATTAAAATCGCGGCACCGTTACTCGGAGCTTTCACGATGCGTTATTATATATTTATGGGTACCCGTGCAATTATCACTACACCAATACGTTTTAACTTTAATATCTAACTCTGCATACCATGCATATGATGCTAACGGTATGGCGAAATGCATTTTTGAATTTACTTCATAAGGAACTACCTTTTCGCCCGCGGCTAGGCTCGCGTTGAAGCCCTTAAATAAATATCTCTCCTATAAAAAAAAATCCAATTAAAATAGCCTATGTCCTTTCTCAGGCTCTAGACTGTCTGTGTACCAAATTTCATTTAAATCGGTTCAGTAGTTTTGGCATGAAAGCGAGACAGACAGATAGAGTTACTTTCGCATTTATAATATTAGTATGGATTGTTACACGTTTCGTATAGGTTTTAAAAACCCAAATATCCTATGTTGTCACTTCAGCCTAATAAACGTGTGTCGAGTTTGTTATATGAACTCATAGATCGTCTCGCCTCTGCGCTGAAAGTGCATTTCTGTCGCGAGAGCGCATTTCGCGCGGCGCGGGATGTAAGGGGGTGGCCGTGGGCGGGCGGCTGGAGAGTTGAGGGGCGCGGGGGGCGGGGAGGGGCGGGCGCCCGTCTGGGCCGGGGGGCGGCCGCGTCAACGACCGCCACTCGGCAGTCGGCGAGCGCGGCAGGAGACCGTTACAGTGAGACCGTGCACTCGCCTCAATCTCGCCGGTACCAGGCTGCAGCGGTCGCGTGTTCACGTGTTAAGTCGTCACGCGCGTGACTGTGTAGACCACTGGTTAGCGTGTTCACGTTCCAATCGTGTTAAGTCGTCACGCGCGTGAGTAGAACGCTCGGTAGCGGACGCCCTGGGCCAGCGCCGACCCATGTGGTAGGGCGATGGTGCGCTTGGGCCTAGCGATGGTGGTGGGCGTGGCGCCGGCGCTGGTCTCGTGGTGGCGCGGCCAGGGTGTCAAGCTGCCGCCGCCCCTCGTCACGCCCGCCACTTCGCCCGTAGCGGAGAAGATCCCCAAGTGGCCGCAGCACCGCTCCCCCTCGATCTCCGACTGCCTGGAGAGCGGAAGCGACGAGGACTCGGCCAGGTCCATCGTGTGCCACGTGAGGCCGAAGATCGTAAGTCCGCGGATGCCCTATCTCGACTGGTTCATTGTGCTTCTCATGCGGATATATGAGTGATCGATGCTATTTAAACATCGATGTTTTTACATCGATGTCGACTAAACATGTAAACGACCGTAACGTCCTTGGTATGAGTGTAATATCGAAACTTTATTCAATTTACTCGCTTTACACTGAATTTAATAATGACCTTATTAATATTAGCTCACTCGATCACATTCACGCATCACATTTGTGTGTGCGCAGAACTGAAAACTGAAATAAAGAGTGTCATTTATTAGGACATTCAAAATGTGGATGATATTGATTACCCACATCTTTCAAGCGTTTAGGGTAAGACATTTTAGTTAGCTTACCAATTTTTAGTTTTATCACTGTGTGAGAAAGCTATCGTTTATTAAATTCGCCAACCCAATGACGATAGTGTATTTCACAACGTCTAAAGCCCCGCGCGACTCAATTGCACAATCATTTCAACGGATTGTAGAAAGCGTGTTTGCTGTTTTATTATTCGTATTACATGTACATTATCGCGGCCGCGTAATTTTGTGGTCCAAGTGGTATAAAGACGTTAGTATAATTGACTATAAAAGATTGAGTGGCTTTTCAGAGATGTATAATCTATCGGTTATTTCATCTTTTTGAGTACATTATAAGTATTTATTATGATTTGGCTAAGTAGTGTGTACTGTACAATTGTTTCCGTAAATCAAATCCCCAGCTTCATAAATTTATTTATAATTATTTAGTGGAAAGTGGTTTGAAAATAACACTGATCCCGAAATAATATTTATCGCAATAAAATCAGAAAAATGAAATGGTATTCGCGGCCTCGACTAAAATTTGAACTTATTTACTTAAACAAAAACTAAAGGTTGATTGACTATAAATCACTTCCAAGGCACAGATTGTGTGTAGGATCCGCATAAATTGTGCTGCCTGTCTGTAAGTCAAGTATTAATGACAATGTCAAGTAGACATTTCCCGTGTAATTGTAACTTAGTGTTAAAAATGACAGGATAACGTTATCCTGGGGTGCAGTAGAGTTACGAGGAGTATATATAAATAAATACAGAAAACCTATTCAGAAAAAAAAAAGAATGTTAATGACGTGTACGGAAATAGACGATGTTTAGTTAGACGAACACTTCCGGCAGCGGAAGTTGTCTTTTGTTTCGAATATTCGAGACTAATCTATATATAAGGGTTCGCGAACCTTTTATTTAAGCAGCCACCGAAATCGTTTCTAAAGGAATGTAAAGTATTATGGTCTTGACATGCTGCACCGCATTCGGTCGAAAATTTGAGCGAAATGTACCTTTCACGAAACTTTTTACCTTTTTCAGGGCGAACAAAAATAACTTTTAGGGTTTTTTTTTTTACTTTACTAAAGAGGGTTTTTATTTTTACACACATTTTAGGGTTTAAAACATAACGTCGTATTATTTCGCTTGGGGACATTACAGTTTTTTGACTCTATGCCTTAATTATTTGTCCTGATGTCCTTTGGTTCGCCAGACTTTGTATACACAGTTCCGCCATATGGTGGGTTGCGATTGGAAAGTTGCGAACTTTGCCAGTGGAAGCTCTAAAAACTCTCAAACCGGTTTCTGTACGGTATACGTTTTGCGCACAATGGCGGCCTTACTTGTAGAGATTCTCTCCTGCTGTATGTACACCATATTCATGAATTTAATAGGGATAGTACCCGTAACAGATGGAATTTAAAAAAAAACGTTATATTACAAACGCTTGTTTGTGGTGTAATTAGTGGCGTTTCTATTTCAAGAAGAAACAGAGATGGAGCTATTAAATATTCGAAAAATAATCATAAAAAGTTGTGATTGTGATAAATTTTCAAAAATTGATTTCTTACAAAATTTGTGTGATAAAAAGGATACTGTAAATAAACATGGCACCTTCGTATTTAAACTCGGGATTAGAAAAAAGAAAATGCTATCCGCCATTCCTAATCTTGATAGCCCAAAGTGCGGTAGTGAGTAAAAATCAATTTCACTGTCTAGACGTTTTACGGTGAACCGATAAGCAATAAAATATTTATAGAACGATGTTTGGAGTCACTATTTTGTAGGAATCTTAACTTTATCTGATCTTTCTAAGACCTATTTGGTTATATCTAATGCATGGTTATGTTGTTCAAGTCAAATTCACCCATAATTTCATACATCCTGGGATCCATATTATGTCAAAAAGGATTGGATGAAATACTTTCGTAGTATACACATATAGTTATGTTTCATAGTAGGTACACACATATTTGTCGAAATTTTACTTTTTATTATTATTTTTACTTTATCGCTTACAAAAATATTATATTTACATTGATACTATTCTCTATCGTACATGATACATTTATTTGTTGAAATATGTTAAGACCACATAATACATTTATTTCTTGAAATATGGTACAAAAGGACGTATTAATAGTTAAATCATTTCTAGTGTGCAAATGCTTCGACATACAACAAGAGTTCATATTTTCTATTTACAGTTAGTATTATTTTTATATTTATTACAATTTATACATCTTTATTTTCATAGATGATAAAAGAAATATATTTATTACTAGCTTTTCGCCCGCGGCGCCGCCCGCATGTACTACATTTTATATCGTGCTTATAAAGTACCTATCTAACCCTTCGTGCGTTCGTCTCGCACCTAGCCGATTTTTTTAAATTTTATATTAACTTAACTATATACTGTGGTTATGTAATTATAAGTTAACTGTAGCTTATTAAACAGTATTTTAACACACAAATATTTAATGTCGTTCTTTAAATTGATATAACTTTTTTTATGATGAACCGATTTAAATTAAACTAACACTATATGTTAAGTGAAGCTTACTACAATTACAACAATGCATTATTGAAAGTTGCATCCAAATCGGATAAGGCGTTCCTGAGATTAGCGCGCACAAATGCACAGACAAACAGACAAAAGTTTAACCGATCATTGTTTTGGGTTCTACTGCGTTGATAAAGGCTTTGATGCCTCCTTATATTTTGAATCATTAATACTTTAATTTGGATTTAGTTAATGAGTCGACATGGTCACCCGCTCCGTGAGTCAGCGCGTTAAATTTTCAACGGCTCTCTCGAGTGCGCCAAATGAGCCCTCAGCGCCCGTTACACTGATAGCAGTAATGAGTTGCTCTTAAACGCCTCCATCGTCTTACATAGTGGCTGCGTTAATGTGTGATTAACACGACTGATAACGATTTTTATTATTTTTTATTACTATTTAAGAATATATGTAATATACATTTAAAATTATAAATATTTTTTGTCTTTCATAGAAGTTATTGAAGTAAATAAGGTTACTTTGTTCTTAAATCCTTGTAGAGCACGTGTGTATTTTCTATTCGCGAATGATGTGTACGCCCGTTATTGATGTGTTCATTTGTTAATTTAATTACGTGTACTTCAAACCTTTTATTGTATATATACCTTGAACATGTTTTGGTGTACCTTTATAAATATAAATAAAATAAACGTGATTGACTTTTTTTTATGTGAGAAGGTGGCAAGCGAGCTGGCGGGTCACCTCACGTTAAGTGATAACCGCCGCCCATGGACATTTGTAACACCCGAAGGGTTGCAGATGGTTTCAATGAAGTGGGCCCCGACTCCCTGACACTTCTACTTCACGCCGGTCTTTTGTGAGGTCGTGGTACTTGCCCCGAACGGACCTACCCAATCGTACAAGCCGAAGCTGTTGCATGGCCCTACCACAGTTAAATTACTATTTAAAAAAAAAAACAAATACCATATGATTGACGTTTAAAGCTTCTTAATGGAATTAACATGCGTTTGAAATGTTTCAGCCTGTTTATTTCGATAGAAACTGACCAAATGGGCGAATATGCAGGCAGTTACCCGAATAGCAAGGAAACGATAGCTGCCGTGCGAAAATGTTGTAAAGCTTTTATAAATATGTCGGTCTCCAATTTGTGCATTAGCATGAAACTTCTGTTAATCTCTACCACAGTATAAGTTCTATAAGGTTTATTTAGCATGTGAACTATCTCCATTTTAAATATAGCCCCCTATCTTATTTAATGGCTAATCATCTTAGTCTGAACTACATCTCATAAGGCGACCCCCTTGCCATAAGTCAACTCCGTTTTCGACCACCTCGCTTCTACACAGACTTACGGAAATCATTCCGAAAGTCATAAATCAATCCCGCCCCGTATGTGCTAAACAGTCATTTCTTTGATCTGCAAAGGCAAAGTCTTGCATAACGGCTTGCTTTACAAGTCCAGTCGCAATCTGCCAGGGAAGCTGGCTCATTTCTGGCTTTTTTTATGTGATAAGTTGCCAAACGAGCAGACGGTTCACCTGGCTACAGATGCGTTGACAACCTTTTGAAAATTGGACTCCGGCTACCTCACTCACCAGACGAAACGCGAAAGTATTTGTCATACTTCCACTTTACGCCGGTCTTCTGTGAGGTCGTGGTACTTACCCGGACGGGACTGCCCATTCGTGCAACAGCCGAGGCTGCTGCGTGGCCCTACCACCGTTGCGTTTTATGCGTTTTATTAGTTACTGTTCTACGATTCGGTTGTGACTGACGATTTGCTTTTATTTTCTGACACTTAGATGACAGTTAACTTAAAAATGATCAAAACAATAACAAGATGAAATTTTATTTCATATTATGTAAAGTCTGATTTTGCTATAGAAAATATTTCATTTTAATCACGGTGTTTATTTAAAAGACTGACCAACTGAGGCCTGATCAAATTAGGTCTTACAAACAAACTCTTGTGAGTACATGTGTTGTTATTTTATGTGAAAATAACAACACAACGTCCAGCGAAGCTTGCAGATGCGTTGAAAAGTTTCAAAAGAGTGGGGAACCAGTTATGCTCCTCACCAAAACGCAAAAGTAATAAAGTACTTCCACTTTACGCTGGTTCTCTGTGAGGCTGGGGTACTGCCCGGAGAGCCTGATGCTGTTGAGGGCCCAATTGTTTGAATTTATAAAAAGTATTATAAAGCTCTGTATTTAACCTTAGAAGTTTC